TCTAATAGATGGATCATAGGTTGCAAAGACTTTTGACAACTTGTAGTTCATCATTTTTATCACTAGTGTTGTAGATTCATTTTTTAATAAAGTCAGAAAGGAATAGCCACCATGTGAAGTATCTATCATGGCCACAGTGTACATGCATACTGCACTGCACATCTGAAGGGACCACAAATGTCTTCAGTATGTGTTAATAACAGCACATGTGTCTCAGGAAAATAATACACAGAAAGGATAGGCAACTTCAACAAACCAGCATGTAATTAGCTACCATGAATCAGTATGTAAGTGTTGCCAAAAGATTATTACATCAAAGTCAGATTTGTATGTAGGTGTAAGACAGAATAAGGCTGTACACAGTCAGACACTATGTGAAGTGAGAGAGTCTGAAAACACACAGCACGAGACACAGTGTCTGTGTTCCATTGGCTCCTCTGACGAGGTGGGTGTGGCTTGTTGCTGGGCTGAGTCACCTTCTGGCTGGGGACTGGAATACAACACAGAAAATATCATCTACAGCTATTCCGGATCCAAGATGAAAAGTGTACATCAACTTTTTCTTGAGAAGGCCAGAGGTTTAGTTCTCACATGCCACCTACACAGAATGTTTTCCTAGTGCTAACATTGATCATTGTGCTATTGCACTGTAAACAGAAAAATGCCTTACATTCGCACTAAGATAAAGCACATTTTCATGATTTGTGGCACTGTTGTACCTTGTCTGAGCCTGCTCCCCAGTTTCCTCCATTGGTTTGGCCCTCTCTCCCTCTCCCCCCTCCCTCTCTTCCTTCCCCTTCCCTCCTCCCCCCTCCTCCTCCCCCACCCCTGTCATCTCCCCCTCGTCTCCCTCTTCCACCGTCTCTCCCATCGTGGCAGGACCTTCTTTCTCAGGTTTGGCCTCACTGGAGTCTGCAGCCTCTGGTCCCGGGCTGGCTGACTTGGCTGCAGGAACAGAGGAGAGATGAGAAAACTATATACACATACAGTAGAGTAGCTGCTAAAAATATAATGACAACTCCAGTTTGCCATAAAGAAGTTTCCCTTTTCTAAGAGGTATAAATTACACTTTAGAGCGTGTCTCTACTTCAATTCCATAGTCCAACTACATACATAGCCTAGTAGTTAGTTAGTCTCTACTTCTTTTCCTGTTGCTCCAAAAAATGCACTAAAGCAACACCAAAATTGAGGCGAGCAAGGATTGCTAAAGCGAGAAGGGTGCAGCGAGACAGAGTATACTAGAATTCCATAGTCCAACTATAGTAAAAGCATTAAGAGTAGTTGGTTTGTCTCTACTTCAATTCATGTGCCTACAAAAAACGCAAATAATTGACACTCTTAATGAGTTACACATACATACGACTCAGTCTCACCAGTCTTCTCCTGGGCAGTCTCAGCCTTGCTCTCCTGGCTGTGTGGCGTGACCAGAGGACTGGGGGTGATGGGAGAAGGCTCCGGGGGTACGGGACTCTGGATGCTCCCTCCACCTGCAGTGACAGTTATAGCAGGGAAGAAATGGTGGAAGGAGGGGAGACTGGTTTGCCATTTTCAGTTCACCCGAATTAGAACTGCGTGCACGTGCGCCATAGCTTAGTCCATGGAAACTACATACATCACTAAGTACTAGTATATAGGGATGGGGATGGTATGGTATCTAGCATCATAGATGTATGGGGCTGTATAATTATGCCTCTTTTCTAAATTCAAGGGATTTTAATTTACTTGTATATAATGAACATTAAATCTACTATATAGTAGCGTCATTGCTGTGCTCGAACACAATAAAACCAATATGAAGGAACAAAACAATGGGCTGTAGAGTAAGAATGCATGTAGTGGAGGACCAGAACCAACTGAGGATGATCCTGACCCCACAGTTTCCCCGCAAAAACTCTGACCTTGTGGTTATTTGGTAACGGCAGAGGGCCTTCTATTGTATCCCCCCTCGTCGGCAGACGCAATCGTTTTGTGCGTGGTGACCGACACTCTCGTTGCGTGCGTCGGCCGTCTCCCTCGTCCTCGCTGTCAGAGAGATCCTCATCTCTGGCTATCATCTTGTCCTGGACATGCTCTGCAGGGGGGGGGGGCACATTTGTTGCCAAAATGTGTCACATATAGTTCTACAAGCACATTAACGAGGCACCGTAAATGGTCGCATCATGTAGCATGAGGACATGTATAATGTGTACATATACTAAGTGTCCTGGGTGTCCTGGGTGTAGTTGACTATATTGATGTAATGTCATACGTACATTGCATGGGGACACCAGGAGCAGGAGCAAAGCTGAGGTAATTAATAATTCATAAGCACCCTGTTTGTAATAAAACACTGGGCTGAGAACTGGAATGGTGTCACCCACAAAGGGACATTTATACCCCCTTGACATGAAATTACCATTAAAATGCGTTTTTGAAGAAGACAATCTTTTGCATAATCCCACATATCTACTTTTTAAAGTATTATACCCTACCCATATTTCCCCCCATTTTTGAACTCTTTATTTGCCACACTTAGTTTGGGATATACCACTCTGGTTCTCGGCACTTTAATTATCCCCCATGTCCCAATGAATGATAGCTGGTTGGTTACCTGGTGTCAACGATGATGACTTCAAAAGAGTCTTCCTTGGATTTCTCCACTCCCTCCTGAGCTATCACCACTGGATCCATCTCCGTATAGCTGATAAAATTATTATTATGTCTACGTATCATGAATTGTAGTTTAAGAGTAGCAAATTTCAAGTGCATATTAAACACACAGTTAAAGGATGTGAAGTGAAACTATACTCCAGCTTCAGAAGGAGACAGAGAAATTTGTGGTCCCTGCCCCCAAAAAATTGCACAGATAACTCGGGCAGGTGAGAGTTTTTTCGAAGTTTTCCAGCGTAAAAAGTGTCAGTAACATCTATCAATGGTCCTTCAACACTACACAGTTACCTGCCATAGAAGGGAACGCGAGCCTTCGTGGCGTTCTGTTTGAGTTGGTCGAAGGCACCAGCTCTGAACGTGTCGCACACGCCAGACATGTCTTCCAGCCCTTCTTCTGGTAGTGTAGGCCAACTGCACACACACCACACATGGAGATATGTATAAATTTAAATAAGGTGGTCAACGATTTCGCATTTTTTGTAGGCACAAGAGTGGAAATACGGAAAAATCAACTACCCTTAACACATTGACTACAGTTGGAGTATGGAATGGTAACATCTCCATCTCGCTGAACCTATCCCTATCTCGCCCAATTTTTGCTGTCACCACCTAAATAAGGGTGTCAACGAGTTTGTAGGCACAAGGTAACATAATGTAAAGACAGGTTGCACATATATGAATGGTGTACCTGACCTTGGTACAGTGGTAGTCTTTCACTGCCCTGAAGACCCACAACATGATGACATTTGACCGACCCTTCGTGTGTGCCAGACCGGCACACCCGGGTCCAGCAGTTGGCAGAGTTCGTTGAAAACTGAGGTCTGGATGATCCTGCGCTTGCTGAGTCCCGCTCCCATGTCCTCAAAATCTATGGCAGCTCTTAATAGTGAGAGAACACAACGTCAAACTTGTTGTAAATTTATGGCACTCTTATGAAAGAGACAGAGTAAGGATCAACCATACTTTCAATAACCACCTTATGTGGTGTACGTCGAAAGCAACCTAGCAGTTTATGCGGTTAATTCACTAGTAGGGATGACAGAAACTACAATGACAGAAACTGTAGCCCTAACGCTTTCTATAGCGTATGTATAGCTATACATGTTCATTACCCGACATTCTGACGTAGCTTCCCAACAAGCTTCACGTTCACATCAGCTTCCAAAAGAGCCGTACATATCTCCTCCAGCATAGCCTGGAGTACCTATAGGAGTCACCAACACAATCCCACCCTATGTATCACTACGTAATATGAGACTCCCTCGTCTTTCACTCGCTCTCGGGAGTAAAGCTATGCTCTTTACCTCTCATTGATGACAGTGGCGTTGCCAAGGAACCGCAGAGCGGTCGTTATCTTCCTCCCCAGGTCAGCTAGCTATAGCACCATCTTTTTCGAGCGAGGCGACGTCGACACACGCACGAGTTGTTGTTTTGTGTGGTGCAATATTTTTCAGTCTACACGAATAATTGGAGAGAAATACGCACGAGCCGCATGCGCGCGCCTCCATAAATATAATTTTTCAAAAGGTGTTCTAGAAAAAAATGAGGGAAAGCACCCTAGCTGTTCAAGTACGTAGCTACTGTGGAAGAATTCTGCTGTATCTTGTCGGCCAGGGTATTGAGTTCACAGCGACGAAGACTTTCGACAAGGGTCTGCCATGTCGGTGGTTCCCCTTTCCCTGCCAGCCAGTTTTGCAGAATTTTCATTGTTACATCATGGGCTTGTCTAAAGCAGTCGTGCTCAAGGACGTCAATCTTGCAGCCGGTCTCGTCGTTAAGCAGAAATGTTCCAAGCTTTCTGTAGTTTGTTCCGACCTCCTCTGGGACATTGAGATCATACAACTGCTCGAGAGTCGGCCTCTTTGTGTTGGTGGGTGGGGTTTCAAGCCACATCAGGTGATGTTTGCTGGTTTGTTTGCTCTCTTCGTAGACTGAGCAACTGAGGCGCCACTTGGACTTGAAGCGGTATAAAGAGGCAGGGTGGGCGAGAGGCTTTCCCTCACAGGGACAGACGAAGGCAAGAGTGGCCTCGATCCCAGAAAGATTCAAACGGTCAAACACCTGTTTGATAGCTGTGAAGATCGTGTCTTTGATTTCGAAGCATATCTCGGCCATGTCGTCTTGGTCGAGGCCTTCCCCAGGCCTGACGTGCACTTCGAATGTGTGGCCAGTGTCAACCAGAACAATCTGACTGGGAGTCTGAGGCTTGTAGAGGGAGACGACGTTGTGAGCCAGGCACTTTGGGGAGCCATCGTCAGCTCTGCTCAACTTCCAGTCGTAAATGGCCATGAGGCAGGAGATGGTCCTGGAGAAGCAGCTGAGGGGGACACAGTTGTTGGTGAACTGGACCACCAGTGGAGCTATCTCGGACGGTGGGGGGAGGTGGTTTTCAATTTCCTTGTCTGGAATGGCCGATCGGAGACTCATCATCAGATGCTCTCTGGGAGTTGGTTGACTGGTGGCTGGATCGTGACTGGTGGCAGATGTTGGCTGAACATCACGACTCAACGGAGCCAGTGTGAATGTATGGGAGAGAAGCTTGATTGCATGTTGAGGCTCGTAAAGGTCAGGGATAAAGCACTGGGTGAGCTCCTTGTGGCTGAGGATTTCCTCTGTGATTATGCCATCTTTCAGAGAGGACACCATATCATCTGATATGCACATCACTTCCCCACGCCCCTACCTTATAGCTGAACTTGACCACAGCATTGATGCAGTCGAGCGGTGTTTGAGGCCTCGTGAAGACAAGGTTGGGGAGGACGTGGCGGAAGTAGAGCAGCGTAAACTGGCGGTCGAAGAAGATCAAGGCAGCCTCCACTTCCTCTGGTTTCATCTTCAGCCTTGCTCCGATTTTTAGGCACTCATCGAGGCTGAGTATGCCTCTAGGATCTTTTTTCTTTGCAAACTCCATCAGTTCCTGTTCTAACACCAGAAAGGACCCTGGTGTCTTGACCACCTCTCCCACCTTACTCTCACTGACCTCACTGCGGATGACATCCAGCCTCTCCCAGTCATCCCGGTCCGGTTCCTTCAGGTTGAGGACAAACGGAATCTGATTGGCGGAATAGCGGATGAGCTCTTTCCTGCTGGATGGCAGCAAAATAGCTCTGAGGGCCTGGTCAAAGGCCTTGACCCTAGCTGGCAGCTCACCTTCTGGCACACAGTCTCTGTGTGTTGCCACTACCAGTAGCCGGCAGCGCTGGCCTTCTCTCTGAGAGAATCTCTTGGCTTGCAGGGTGGACGCCAGCTTCTGTATGATCTGCCTGTTGGAGTACTGGGAAGGTAAAGATCGCTTGTAAGCCTCTCCCTCCTCGTGGTAGTCAATGGACGGATGCTCATCGAGGCCAAACATGAGATTCAGGACTAGTATAGCAAGGTGACAGTGGTGGATCAGACTCGGTACGTTCTCCAGTAGCTCTGGCTGGCCTCCCGTGTCAATCATGTGGACTAGCTCCAGCATTTTAATGATCTCGGAGCTCTTTGGGGACTTTACCAGCCGCACCATTGACTGCATCGTAGAGGTCTTAGATTCTGGGAAAGTGCTTGATGAGGCACCTGGAGAAGAGGTAGCTGGTGTGGTGGTAGAAGAACTAGGAGAAGTAGTGGAAAGAGAAGGAGGGGCTGAGGCTGTGGCAACAGAAGCAGAAGGCTCTAGACTACGTGGCAGTAGCTGGAAGATACAGGCCAGGAGCTGGAGGATCTGGCTGCGGGAGAAAGGCTCCCAGGAGTTGGACGAGACGTTGGCCATGTGGTGGAGGAGGCCACATAGCGACTGTTCCGCCACTCCAGTACTGGTGTAGAATTCAGGAGGGAGTTGGTTGAAGAGACGGCTGAGGAGCCACGTCTTCCCGGAGCCCATGAGACCAGTGATGACGGCCACGAGGTTCCTCATGTCCAGACTGCAGAACTCCAGAGCCTTGTCTATGATCTCCTGGGCTCTCTCGTCACTCAGAGGAGCTGAGAAGAAAATATTAGACTATTAATTGGAGGAGTACCCAAATAAGCACTAAAGTGCAAACCATCGGCGAACTGCGCATGCGCGATAGTGCTAATTGATGGGCTGTTTGTATGCGTTTACTCGTGGTCTCCCGCTAGTAGCTCGCGGAGAGTCTGACACGGGCTAGCTACAGTAGTAGATAGCATGTGGGAGTCGATACACGCCATTCGTTGTGACTTCCTGAGCCACCACAGTACACACTCTGCAGTCTAGGCGAGCGCTCTACCAACTGAGCTACCAGGGCAACTCAGCTGGTAGGGGTTCGAATCTACAACACAAGGCAAACCTCAAACCACTGTGCTATGGCACAGTATACTCTCACATACATGTACACACAGACACACAGACCCAACTACTGTACCCTCGCTGCGCATGCAAAACACCATACTGTACTTTAACTCCATACACCATACATGTGTTTTTGTTCGCATCTGTGATAATAATTACAAGATACAAATAATTACATGTAAAGTTGGAGCATGTAATTGCTGCATAGATAAAAACAAGGGACCACATCAATCACATAATTCAATGTGCATTTTTCAAACATGCACACTTGGGGAGATGTCATGGCTCATAACAAATTACATTTGTGTTCTTCAGCACATGACATAACATAAACTACTCCAAAATTTACTAAGTATGCAAAGAATGTCATAATTGATGGTCTGTTTTCTTATACAAAACACCAAACTGTACTTCAACTCCATACTGTGTATGACATGTTTTTGTTCACATCCTACATGGCTGTGATACTAATTACAGCTGCACATAATACATACCTATGTAGATGTCCTGCCATGCCTATAACAACTGTGTGTCCTGGCATGCCCATATATAGGTTAGACGCGGAAGCGAGGTGTCTACGCTACATTGCAACCCGAGGGGCTGTGGAATGTTGGCGTCCCGAGCGCAGCGAGGGCGCTACCCACATGCCCCGATGGTTGCAATGTTGCGTAGACAACCGAGCGTCCGCGTCTAACCGGTTTAGACCGGAGTATCTGATTGGTGTTTGCGCGTTCAAATGGGTAGCAACAAGCTAGCAACGCTGCGCTCATTCCTCATTCCTTACCTTCGGATGGAACAAGATGCTTTTTTTACGTGTGAGACTCCGAGGAGACAGCCCCCGCCCCCCGTCAAAAATCGTTTACGTCATCATAAAACGCCCTCATTGGTGGTGCGCGTTTGAAAGGGTTAGCAACGCACGGCAACGGCCCAATGTGTTTGTGTATCGCCAGAGCTGAAGAAGCCGACGCTTTTTTCGTGGAATATTGACGTGATTTCTGACTGTCGCGAGCTCCGGAGACTGTCCACAGACTTCTTGCAGGTGCACTACGCATTTTAAAAGAGCTACTTTGCCAGTCGCGCCTTCTACGCTTACATATACCGAACGCGAAATCGGCCGGTTTGCGCAGATAACGACTTTTGAGAATAGCCATTTTGTACGGGGAGTTTGCTGTAGACCACCTGCAAACGCCATTAGACACCTGAAACGAGGTGTCTATGAAAAATAAACCCCCGCAATTCTGTAATCTGATTGGTCAATTGCGCGTGACTGCGGTCTAAAACTTTATATAACATCTATGCATGTACATGTTGACTAGTATAATTTACAAAAAGGGTTGATTTTCTACTGTGTGTACAAATAATAATATTTATTAAAAATATATGCATATACCATCAAACCTACCACTCAGTAGCACACTTGTGAAGTCACATAAAAATTTTTCACCAACTTGCATACGTAGCTTATGCCTTATGTGGGTTAAGAATATAGTAATTAACCCTCGGCACGCATGTGCAGCGAGGGTTACAGTACTTGGTTCGTAAGTGTGTCTGTCTGTCCAGCCGTCTGTCTGTCCGTTCGTCTGTTACCACGTTTTCTGCGACTACACGCAACGAGACAACAAAACAGAGATACCAACGGGTTCATCGCTGCACTGGCTTCATTTTAAAAAAGGCGATTTTCGTATAACTACTGCGTTCAAAAGTTATGGCGTGAAAAGCAAGTCAACAAGCCAATATGTAAATTAGCACAGGCTTACCTCGACCGCGTCCGTTTGGCTGTGTACCTTGCAGGCACATGAAGTCACAACGAAGGGCGTGTATCGACTCCCGCATGCTATCTACTACTGTAGCTAGCCCGTGTCAGACTCTCCGCGAGCTACTAGTGTGGAGACCACGAGTAAACGCATACTAAAAGCCCAGCCAAGCTTCTCTCAAGATTGCTGTTGCTTCTGAAATGATCATAAAATGTAGGAGCAAATATGAGGTATTATACTTATAGGCACAGTGTTGAAGGGTGAACTGGTGAAACATAAACTACCCAAAATTTACTTTAAAGTATGCAAAGAATGTCGTAATTGATTGTCAGGTAAGTGGTATTGAGTGTGGCCTGATGAGGCAGAAGTGCATATACTCTGGCAATGTGTGTAAAGTAGTAGTCTTTTGGAAGTGAATGTG